TATGGTTAGGGCAGGGTAGGGGTTAAGGTTGTCATAGTTAGCGTTAGCATTTTTCCCATTGAAATGAATGAGCGGTCCCTATAAGGATATGTTTACCCTACATGTGCGTGCGTGTGTGTGTGCGTGCGTGTGTGTGTGTGCGTGTGTGTGTGTGCGTATGGAGGGGGATTGGGCACCTGCCCGTTTTGCCTGAACTTTTTAATGAGAACTTTATGGTTGAAACTTTTTCTGTGAGCTCTACATGTACCAAGTGATCCTTTAACCTGTAAGAACCTGCCACTCAAAAAGTCCCTGCACAGCCCTGCAAGACGGCATCTTTCCGAATTTAATTATATCAGCACTTTCTATCTAAATGCAAACTAACATTCCACACTAACTGATTAAATTCCCAGCTTCATTATTTTTAAGGTGTAATCTGGGCCCTCCCGGTTAGTTAATAATGAGTCCCCAGATGACCTAGCTCTGTCTGATGTACGGGTGGAGAAATAGGATCAGAATGTAACCTGACTGGGTGGAGGTGACAAGCCTGAAAATTAGTCATTATTCTCTTATGCTACACAAGCTGAAAGGCCTTATAGTACTATGATTTGACTAGCAGATTTTCTCAATCTAGAAATTAAAATAAAAGCTTTCAGCAGTGATCTATTTTAAAGGAGCACAGCAAGTAATACTAACACAATTAGCGAAATCTCATTTCCCATCTGCCAGTAAAATCAGCCAAAGACCTTATCCAGGTACCCATTACAACAAGCTAACTTGGTTACAATATGCCAAGTGGTTTCCTTCTTCCAATAAAACTACTATACTGTGTCTTATAACTCAAGTAGTTATGTTCTTCTGGTAAATGGGGTTGCATTACTCACTTTACAAGCTGGAACCTGCAGCCAGCAGCCCCAGTACAGGCAAAGACCCATATCATGACTGCATGAAACCCTTCCTGACTCACAACGACATATTTTTTATTCCAGACAACGTTTTTTTTTTTCCTAAGAAATTCATGAACACGGTTTACCTCTTTTACTCTGACTGGGTGGGGCCTGTTCACTTACTGCAGATGCTATACGCAGCGATTAGCGTACAGCCGTGCTTTCTTTGGTATGGCTACAGCAACCAGCCCAGGGGAAGAATAAACAAATCCTATGCAGCACTACAAAAGGTTCAGAAATTATCAAAGGCTGGAGAAGGGAAAGGAGCTGAGGCCAAGAAGATGCTAATGTTTACCAGTTTACTTCCACTCCCCATCATTAAGGACTGCAGAACATCCAAACATTACCTCAGTTTGCTCAAACTAATTTTCTGTTATAAAGTGACCTTTCACAGAGCAACCATTCTATAATTATCTAAAGAGCTGTTTACAGCTGCAGTCTGCAGCTTTCTGTACCTAAATGCATGTTTGGAAGCATCTACAGATAATCTATAGTTCTTAAAAAGAAAAAAAAAGGGAACTGCAGATTTATTTCAAACTGAGCAGACCCTGTGACATCCCCCCGTGGATTAAGGTAGTGTTTCCCAACCCGGCCCTCAGGGACCCCCTGATAGTCCATGTTTTTGCTCCATTCCAGCTCCCCCAAAAAAAAGAATTTCTGGGGGTCACTGGATTAAGACACTGGGAGATCTTCCAAAGGTCTTCTGCTCCTGTTACCCCCCTGCAAGGACGGTGTGTAAGGGCTCACTGCACATCCCAATCATCAGGCTACTGGGACAGTGGTGGCCTAATGGTTAGGGAAGTATGCGTGAGATTGAAAGTCCCCAACCACTGAGGTACCCTGAGCTAAATAACAAATGCCCACCGTTATGTCACAATGTCACATATGGGTTAAATGCTGAGGACACACTCTGCTCTTGTGTGCTGTGCTGGACACTGTCTCTGGCTTCCTGTACGTGCTGTGAACAGCAGACTCTGCTGGAGCTTTGATTTGCTCACAGAATGTCATGTGACCTAGGCAAAACAAATTCAGACAGTATATACAAAAGGGCTTCGACAGGAGTATGAAAACACTCTCGAGTCTCTCTTGAAGGCTCTGCTCCGAGTGACTCGCACACACCTCTCCCACAGACTGCGAAAAGGGCACAAAGTCCAAGGTGGATATCAGGTGCCGCCTTCTGACACTGACAAAAAGGAGACACACCCAGCCACAGCATGTGGCGTCTATGCATGTGATCAGCAACACAGCAGGTGGACCAGGGAGCAGGCAGACAGTCTCCGGGTGAATCTCCAGGGCCGTCCACCTCTGGGAATCCTGCATCAGTTTGACTGATCTTAGTGGAGAGTTTCTCCATTCAGCATATCCTGGATGTTCTGCAGTATTAAGAAAGAACCGCTGGTAAGCAGCAGGGTGGAGCACCTAAGCAGGGAAGGTAATGCGCGCTAACGTGAGAGCTTCCAACTTCTGCTGAAACACACACACCCTCACAGACAGCCCACCTTCCTACACTCACATTGCATTTAGCCCATTAACTGCAGAGACCGTGGTGAAGATCAGCGACCTTTTATTAACAGTCATCAAAAGACAACGTTAAAACACCCCAAACAGGCCAACAGGCTTCAAACTTCAAACAGACAACGCTGGGTCACATAAAACACTGAACACACTGAAGACATATCTTGGGAATGATTCTGGACTAGGTTCTGTAAAAATTCTGCTTATAATTTCCATTTATAAAGATTATTTTACACAACCACAGTTAGGCTTTCTTTATAGGCTTTGGGTTTTGTATGCGTTTAATCAACGGTTTTCTTACCACCCTTCAACCAAAAACAGTTTGGTTTACTATATGAGGTGCACCTAACACACAGACAAAACGAAAGCTTGCCCATTCCCGAAGTACAAGCAGGCCTGACACGTAAACTTTGACATGTGCATCTACAGTAATGACAGCAACACACATGGCTAAAACATTTCTCACCTACAAGTTAAATCTAACTTTTTTTTTTACTGACCAAGAAACGAATAAAAACCTCCGTGTTTAGTGTATTGAGATCATAAGCTATACACTCCTACTTCAATCTCACTTTTATGTAAAAAGAAAAGAAATAGACGAATTTGGGGCTATTTTTGGTTTTACTGAAATTAAACGTTAGTTTTCATTATATAGACTGATTGGACTGATCGTTGCATGGCGTCGGGTGCACGGACTCACCTGAACTCCGGCAGAAGTTGTCCGTAGCTCTCAGCCCGGGTGTGGATGCATGTGTTCCGTCCGGGCTGCTGTGCACGCCGACCTCGATCGGCACTTTCTCCCAATGAGGCGTCCTCGGTCTCAGGCGACCTGCTCCTTCTGACGTCTCTTTCAATTCCTGCGTCCGAAAGGCGGTTACGTCACGCGATCGCGGAAACACTCCCTATCGGCATGTTATTTATCACTTTTTTATAGCTTATAAGGCAAAAACAAACTCACAGAATAACCGCGTTGAGCCCAATGTGAAAGTGAAAATATAAAAAACTGGGAAAAAAGTAATTAGGGAAAACTCAGGAAAAAAGAAATTAGTGACACACAGAGTTTATAGCAATACATTTTTACATTAAACAGCGAACGTTTTCAAACTTTGTTGCTGATGCATTGCTAGTGGGAGGGTGATTAAGAGTGAAAGGTGTTCAGTTGCGTGCTGCTGCTTGACAGCACTCTAGTGATAGGAATGCGCAAAGCACCCGGGACGGCGCCGGCATAGCAAGTGCATGTCCCTATATGAGGAAAGAAGGAAACTTCAGTTCAACCCGTGACAAACCAATTTCTGACAAGACTGCAGTAGTCCCTCGCTATTTCGCGCTTCGACTTTCTTCACTCTATCGCGGTTTTTTCAAATACATTTATTCATTAAAAAGTTGATAGACAGTGAAAATGATACAGCGCGCTCTCGGTTGTCTGAGTCAATCATACACCTCTGTATTACAATTAAAATTAAAATTACTGTACGTATGGACTGTAGGCCTATGTATTCGAGCACCCCCGCAAATCCTTCAACGCCTGGTGCAGCCGAATAATAAAGAAATAAATTAAGAATCCTACTTCGCGGAAATGTATTTAACGCGGTAGAGTCTGGAACGGATTAACCGCGATAAACGAGGGACGACTGTAAAGAGATACGCTGTAGGTAGCTTGTCACCGTATAATGCAATCGTTTAAAAAAAATGTATCCGATTCTCACCTTGTTGTTAATTACATTTAATTATTCAGGCGATTTCAGGAAATAAATGGGACATTATCTGTTATATTTACTATACCTATTCACTAAGTAGACCAGCATAATACATGAATAAGACACATTAGTTCCTGTTCATTGTTGGGAACATTTTCCATTACAGAATATTTCAAAGCACAAAAAAAGACTTTTTATTAACGTAACCCCAGAGCAGTTAGAGTTATTTCCGTTGAGACTAATAATGCGGCCGTTTGTTTTCGAAGCAGAGCGATGGCACTACGTCTGACATCCTGTTTCGACTTCTGTGACCTAAAAATAGTCCCACAGATTATTGAGCAAAACGTGCCTTATCCCTTAGTACTGCAGGGCACAATGGAGCATTAAGACACAGGACCTAATTAGATGATCTATTTAGATAGATAGATAGATAGATAGATAGATAGATAGATAGATAGATAGATAGATAGATAGATAGATATCTTTATATCGCCTGGTAAAGACATTGTCGCAGTGTAGAAAAGTAGCATTATACACAAGCCCATTTAAGTATGTATACCTTTATATAGTATCGATATCATATCCTATTCTTCCTCTCTCTCCCGAGAAACACATTGAAATGAGAACCCCACAACCACAGAATACTGCGTGTATTTCCTGTGACAACTGAAAAAGCGCTTCACCCACAACTGAAAAGATCACCAACTGCAGCCCTACCAATAGGTCCCTCTCGGCGAATTTGGCACACCGGGGGTGGGGTTGGAGGTGTCACCTTCGTAGATTTTGCAGATCGAGGGGAAAGAGGGTGGATTTCCTTTGTTAATTTTGTCGGAGGGGGCTAACTTGTGATCTTACTATCTCGCTACGTGTTTGATCACTAATATACATATTTTGGCGGGGGGATGGGGGTGGGTGTAATTCATTATTTTAATACGTGCACGGCTCATACCTGCCTTATTGTAGTGAGGACCTGCACGGCTCTACAGAAAGGTACCATACAGATGGGACTGTAGCCGACCTGCTTCACCAGTGCTGTGGAAGTTACAGAAAATTAACAATTACTTTCAGTTACTAATTACTTCATTCAAAAGAATTCGGTAACACTTTATTTAAGTCCATGTTTAGTAGCCTAATTTCTAAATATAGGCTATTCTTAAATAATTGCATTCATAAAGCATTATAAACATAGCTATAAATATTTATCAAAGGCATAACACATTATAGCAATGTTTATTATGCATATTGAATTCTTTATGAAGCTCGTTTATAATACAGTATAGATACCTTTATAGATAGCATTATAGTGGTCGGTATAAGCTTTAAGGATGATTTGTGCTACATTCCAAATGTATTTATAGTGCATTAAAGATGAGAGCTTCATAAGTAATTCAAAATGCACTATAAACATGGCTATTATTTGTTATGCCTTTCTATAAACATTTATAGTATAGCCATGTTTATAGTGCTTTATGAATGCATTATAATGCATTATGAATGTGTATATAAATTACTAAAAACGTGGCCCTGTTACCGGTAATTTAATTACATTACTGCATATAAAAGTAACTAATTACTAAGGAACTTCCATTCACTTATTTATGCATACATCCGGAACGTTGGTTTAATATCATACGTCGCTAAATGATCACGTTCCATTTAGTCCTATAGCCTATTATCCTACACTGCCCGTCCAAAAAAAAAGTCTCCATTTGAATTTTTTTGTTGGACCGCCTTTAGCTTCAGGGCTCCCGCGGGGTCTTAAAAAGTCTAAAATTCAGAAAGTTAAATTTAACTCGGTATCCCTCCTGCATGCTCCGGACCTGCCCGCGGCACCGCCTGCTGCTGCTGTCGCCGCTCTGCCCGCGGCACCGCCTGCTGCTGCTGCTGTCGCCTCTCTGCCCGCGGCACCGCCTGCTGCTGTCGCGGCTGCCGCCTCTCTGCCCGCGGCACCGCCTGCTGCTGCTGCTGTCGCGGCTGCCGCCTCTCTGCCCGCGGCTGCCGCCTGCTGCTGCTGCGGCGCCCCCTGCTGGCCGCGTGGTGGCGGCGCCCCCTGGTGACCAGGAACTGAGGGTGCCCGCTGCAGCTCCGACTGAGGTGCCCGCCGAGGCGCCCCCTGCTGGCCGCACACCCAAGGTGCCCTCCGAGGTGCCCCTTGCTGGCCACGTGACGGCAGCGCCCGTCCTGCCGGCACCTGAACTGCCTGTCTCGCCTGTCCTGCCGGCTCTTGACCTGCCTGTCTCGCCTGTCCTGCCGGCGCCTGAACTGCCTGAGGTGGCCGCGGTTGCGCCCCCTGCTGGCCGTGGGATGGCGGCGCCCGCTGTGGCGCTCTCTGCTGGTCGCGGGCTGGCGGCGCCCGCCGAGGCACCCCCTGCTGACCGTACGCCTGCAGCTGCCTCCGCTCTGCCTGAGGTGCCCGCCGAGGCGCCCCCTGCTGGCCACACGCCCACGGCCCTGCCTGAGGCCGCATCTCCCGTCCTGCCCGCGGCCCTGTCCGAGGCCGCCTCTCCCAACCTGCCCGCGACCCTGGCTGCCCCGCCTACGGCCACGCCTGTTGCCCCCAGGGAGCCTCTGACTCCCTCGTCCTTATCCCGGCAAGGCTGACGCCCCCCAAGACCCCGCCTCTCCGTATCCAGCAAGGGACGGGGACATAGGCGTAGGGCCCGGGTCCCGCCCGCCCTGCCCCCTGGCTCGCCCGTTCGGCCCCTGGCGGTGGCTTGGTGGCTGCCTGCGGGTCCTCCGGCTCGGGGTCGGCGGTCTCCTCCGGGTCCCCCCCTGGATCCTCGGTGCCGGTCCTCGGTCCCGCCTCCGGCTCCGTGTCGGCCGCCTCCGGGCCCCCCTGCTCCGGCTGGGCGTCGGACGGCGCCTTCGCCGGCTCCGGCTGCGCCTCCGCCTGTCGCGGCTTCCCCCTTCTGCCTGCCTGCACCGGTGTTCCCTCCTGCTCCCTCCGTGTCCCCTCCGTCACTCCCTCGTCCCGTTCCCTTGGCCCCTGGGTGGTCCCCTCCTGCTCCCTCCTCCCTCTCCCTTGCGGCCCCTCCGGCCACTGCCCATCGCCCACCTGGGCTCCCTCGGGCTCCCCTTTTTCCTCCTCCCTTTCCCTTTGTCCCGCCTGTCTCTGCTCCTCGTCCCTGTGTTCCTCCTTTGTTCACTCCTGGCCCTTTTGTTCCGCCTTTCTCCTCTTCTGTGTCTCCCTTCCTGGTTTGTCTGTCCACCTTCCCTGTCTTGTGTCGTGTCTTGTCTGTCTTCTTGTCCCTGTTCTTGTTCTGCGTCTCCGTTCTGTTCCCTGGTTTTGGTTGACGTTCTGCTTTGTTTTCCAGGTCCTGTTTTCCCGTTTCGTCTCATCCGTTGCCTCTCCTCTGGCGCGCCCTGTGTGCGCGCCTTTGGGGGGGGGTTCTGTCACGTCCCGCTCCGTACGATCCCGATGTGTGCCACGCCCCCCTCATTACCTCGTGTTCTTCCCTGATGGATCTCATCTTTTGCTCGTTTCCCTCAGCTTGTCTAGTGTATTTAGTCCTTGTCAGAGTCAGTCATCCCCAGATCGGTCATTGTTATGTTACATGTCGTTGCTGCCTGTTTGCCCTCGTCCTTATTAAAAGTCCTGTTTCCCCGAACCTCCGGCTCCGTGCGCCTGCTTACCCGCTCGCTCACCCGTGGATCGTGACAATTCCCAAAAAGCGTTGGCTACTGAAAATAAAATAGTAAAACAATAATCCGTTGGTTGTGTTTTCTGGTATGCACCGTGGTAATAAAACTACAAATCCCATTGCGTGATCACTGCAGCTATGCAAACAAACAGTTTGAGAAGGGTCTGGCTGCAGAACGTGCACTCTCAGCCACTGACGTCAGGTGCACGCTCAGCCACAACAGGAAGTGCAGGGGAATCAAGCGCTAACTTAGTTCTTGAGGCCAATGTGAACGGTATGTTGTTTTATTTGTATTACTGAATCATATAGTTACAAGTTAATTTCATACATTATTGCAATGTAAGTGTTTTGATGTTAGTGTGTTAGTAATTTTTTTCTCTGATGACTGGACTGATTTTTTTCAGTTAAAAGGAAACTACTAGCCAGTTGGCTCATGCTATCTTACAAAATAAACACATTTCTACTTTTATAGGGCTTTTTTTTATGGAGTTACCTTGTGAATGTCTTAGTTTCCAGCATATAGTTTTTAGTTGTTCCTGTGGTCTTGAGGAGAACATTCCTCGGTCTCCTTATGGTATGGCAAGGCAAGTTTTTATTATCATACACAGGGGTTATTTAATGTGCTTTATAAAAACAAGACAAAAAAAGCAAAATAGAGATGAAAAAAAACTTATTTTAATAAAAATTGCTTAGAAAATCTAAAAAATCGGATTAAAAGTGCAGTATGTCCTGTCCTGCTCGTCCGCTCCTCCCGTGTGACATGCCCCCTCGTTATCCCCGTGTGA